GTTAGTCGGCTTAAAAAAGAATTATATACAATGTGCTTCGCCAGCTCCTTGTGGCCTTTGGATACATTTAGCAGGTTCTGACCAGATAAGGCATATTTGTCCTGAGGATATAAACCAATAATTCCAACCTGAATTGAGATCAATGGGCCCACATTTGTTCTAACCCACACCGAGCCTTTTCCGGCACGCCGAGACTGCTTTTCTGTGTTATGAGAACAGAGGAGTAATCTTTCCGCTCTGGCAGGGAAATCACATTCTATAGACTCCGATGCCTTAAATCAATTAATTACACAATTTAGTTATCTTTCAGAAGCATTAAATACTCATGAACAGCACAGAAGACCCTTCAGAGTCAAAAAGAGGGGAAAAGCATAACCAAACCCTTTTAATTTATTGCGAGGGTTTCACTTACGTTAACTGTTTTCTTCCTCATAAAACAATGCCAGAGAAACCATTTTTTATAGCTCCACAAATATAATTACACTGGAGTTTATGTAAGATAATGTAACAACTTATGGGGGTAAAGGAAAGGGGAAACGTAACATTGTAAAGTAAAAAGCGTGATCCATAAAGAGGAACTGCGGGAGAGAGCATCTATGGTGCGTCGCAGGGACCTGTGGAGAGCCAGATGCAAGGAGGGAAAGGGTGTGTGTGTGTGTGTGTGTGTGTGTGTGTACACACCCAGGCACACACACCCACATGTATGTGTATCTGTGTTTGTGTGTACGCATCTGCATATGTATGCATAATTTTTTACGGTTTTCCTGAAAAGGATGGGAGTATCATTGTCCTCATGGAATAATGTTTTCTGGGAAAACACAAAAGCAGATGGTCTTCATTAGGAACACCCATTGTCCACATATCCCAACTATGAACAGATAAATCTCTCTTGTTTCACCCGTACATTCCAAGGGCTGTAAATGATTACAGGATGTCGGTGTAGCTGCTAAACCAGAACCACACTTTGGCTCTCGTCCTCCTCCCGTGCCAGCCTGGTGTGCTCCCTGAGGCCTTCTGGAAGTGCCTGGGAAGGTCCATGCTCTCACCTCCCTTCCTTGCCTGGCCCACGTGGACGGGAGGTGCACGGTCCAACTGTTGCAACCTGCGAGGCGGTGGGAACCCGGGTGCCGTGACTGTCCAAGCAGGCCGGTCGCACACCGTGTGCCCGCCCAGTGCCGGGAGCGTGCGCGGCGGGGCGGTTCCAGATGGCACCGTCTCCGGCGTCCTGCTTGCTGGCACCGCTGCGGCCGGCAGTGCCCCCTCCCCAATAAATCTGGCATTAGGCTATAGAGTTTGGGAGACTTATCATTCCAAGTCTGTCCTACTTTCCTGTCTGGAAGCCAGACATCTGTTTATCCCATTTTCTCTCATACAGAGTTTGGAATAGCTCTAGTTTGGGGGGGGGGGGAGTTTTGTCATATTTAACAGCTGTTACAAAATTTCAACCCTGTGGGCTCTGAAAATACTTTTCAGCTGACCTCAGATTTTTATACATAATTGACATGGGGTTGTAGAAAAATATTATTTACTTAACCTTTCATTGTCTGCGATTTCACATTGTCCTTAGTCAGATGTGCTAACTACCGACCATTTTAACTTGCACGCCCCCCACCCCGCCCCTCCAAAGCCTCACTTTGATTCATTTGCGCTTTTTAAGTTTACACCTTTAAAGTGATTGCAGAAGGGTAGCTGAAGACCGATTGGAGATTTTCTTTCTTTCTTTCTTTCTTTTTTCCCTTTCTTTCTTCTTCTACTTCTTCTTCTTCTTCTTCTTTTTTTTTTTTAGTCAACAGTGTTTCCTTTCACTTCCTGTCACAAAGGTCAAAGAGAGCCGACCTTTGCTGGCAGTCCTCCTCACTGAATTATTCATGGCATTGACTTTTTGTCAGCACACACAGTTGTGCTCTGGGACATTTTATTCATTTACCTCATTTAAAGCGCCTTTCTGCACCTGTTCAAGTATTAATATCATGTAATTTGGGCCTAATGCCGATTTTGCTGAACACTCATTATATTTTTTATTAGCTATATTTCCAAACGATTATGTATGATTATTACCAAGCCTTACAAACAGCACCGGGCTATTCCCCAGCCCCTTACATCTTCTTGTCAGGTTGTTTTCAGAAGCGGGGAGGATAAACATTTGACCAGTCCCACTGTTTTTATTCCTACTCCGTCTCCAAGCAGAGAACTTAAAGCTTCCTCCCTCACGGCTTTGCACGAGCGTGATTAAATCCAGCTCTGAGGGAGCTGTACAAATGCCAGCATTTATAAGGTCAACGCTTTTGTTAAAAATGCTATGTAAATGAGGATCTGCAAAAAGGGACATTAAATAAAATTAAATTCATTGTCTTCTTTAATGTCATTTACATTTTGGCTAAGCCCCGGCCTGTCAAGGAGGATTTTAAAAATAATTTTAATTACACATCATTTAGGGACCCAGGGTTTTCTATTCAGTAGCATTTGGAGAACCTGCAAAATGGATACTGTTTATTAACTT